TATTGCTTGGCGTGCTGGCTTCAGGCTGTTCGTGCCAAAGGATTTCATTAATGCCAAAGTTTTCAGTGTCAAAGTTGCTAGCGCCAGCTTCATCAGCATCCTCTTAGCCTTCCTTTTATTGCCCAATCCCGGGGGCCTGGAATGTGCTCGAGGGAGTGCTAGCCAATGCTGTCTTTTCCAGACTCACACTGGAAGTTATCACCTGAGGGTCTGAAGTAACCCACATGCACTGCTGTAGCAGAAACATGAGCCAAGCATCATTGGTTTTGCAGGTCCTTGAGAAGAAGGACTTTTACATAGAGCACCTATCAGGTATGTGGATCTCTTGTAGGTAAAAGAGGTATCAATTACATCCATCTTTGGTGGGATTCAGTCCGTCGCAAGACAGGCATTGTTTGAATCCTAATGATTTAGAGTCTGCCAAGAGACGTGGCCACTGGCATGCAGCATCTTACACCAGTGTAAAGAGGGATGCACAAAGCAATAGCTGATAGGACCTTCCAAAGAAAAGAAAACTGAGGAAAACAGAAGTGTGAAAATGAAGTTTGTTTCACACAGAAGTTGAAAAACTGAAATGAAGTCTTCCAAGTCAGATATTCACTAAGTTTCAGATCGTTGCCATGGGTGGTAAGAAAAAAGCAAGGGAGGGTCACAGCCACTCTACCCTTTATGCCTTTGCACTGAAGTATGAGGCAGTGCCAACAGAGACAATTATTCAAAAGATTCTGATCTTACATGAATGTGCATCACATTGGGATCCACACTGACACATACGCAAAGCAATAAGGCTTTTCCAGACTAAAACTTCATTAAGACGAAGTTAAGGATGAAAATATAGTCTCTTTTAAAACAAAGTAAAACATTGCTGAATCAGGACATCTGCTGTTAAGTTACCAGCCCACACACAAGGTTTACACTTAACTTTGTTTAATTCCTATCATTTCATTTGGGTTTTGTTGTGAGTTTTATTGTTTTGTTGGTTTTTCTTTAAAATATATGCTATTAGCTTTGTTTTCAAAAAGGGCAGAAATCAACTGATTCTTGATTAATCTATGTCTAGAATCTAAGAATAGTCAGTCAGTCTTCTGAGAATTGTTAATGTACCAAAGCTAGGGATCTCTTAATTATCTAGGACATGCTCCCCATAAGAAGGTCTAACACAGCTCATTTTTGGGCAACAGAGCCCAGAACTTGGAGGAAGAAAGGAAATCTGTTTTAGAATTGAACTAAAAGTTGAACTAAATTTTTTCAAAACTGTGGCTAATTAACTGCATGTAGGTGAAAGATTAAATTAAATCATTTCCCCAAGAATGTGATAACTCAAATCTGTGTACTGAACACCTTCTTTTAAAAAAGTCCTTTTAGGTATGAATTTGATGATCAAGGAAATGAAACACCTTTATTTAACTTCAGAGAATACAGAAAAATATTTTAAAAACTCAGAAACCAAGTACTGGCAAGGAGCCATCAAGCATATGGCTCAAACAGGCAGCTCCAGAAATATTCATTAGTAGCAAAAAAAAGACAGAGGCTTTTGACCAGAAACAACTTCAGTTCCTTTTTTTTTTAGCTTTTGAATATTGTACCTTTTTCAAAACTAAATTCTAGAAATAGTCAGAATAACAATAGGTTAAGAAATGCAAATAGAGCAGTTAAGTTTTAAAATCATTTCTCTTTCTTGTAATCTTTAAACTGAATTATTTTTTATTCCTGTGCATCATTTTGTTATTTAAACAGACTATAAAAGGAATGTGTTATTTATGTCTTCTGACAATTTTTGAAAAAAATTGTACCAAATTACATTTTGCCTGTCCTCTTAGGGCTTTTCTACATGGTGCATCAGTGCTCACTACATGGGATGTGATTTCTAAAGCACACTAACTTGCTGAGCATTAATTGGTCCATGTAGACCCTACTGATGCATACTACAGGTGTGCTTTCATCTAGTGCAGGCTACTCTTTACTCCAGTATGTCTGGGAAAGTTTATGAAAGCACGGTGGGGTACTGAGCAAAAAGACAGACAAGAAGGGGCAGCTCATAATATATCGGATAATTTATATCACATACAGTGTGCTTAGTGTTTGTTTTTTGTGACACTTCTATCACAAATGTATTATGCAATGCCAAATAAAGATTTTTTTTTTATTATCTGCTATTTCTTGGTGTCTGGTACTTTCAAAACGAGTCATGCTGTAGACTAGTGATATATATTTCAGTCTGATCCATAGTATTACAAATATTAAAAAGTTGTTTAGAAAGAATTCATCAATGAAATACTTGGAAAGAATCATAGTAGGAAAGGCTTAATTATTTAAATTGTTACATTCAAATTATTATAATTGGTGGTAAGTAGATTCCCCACCCCCCTCATCAACTGAAATCTTGTGTGTGTGTGTACAAACCAATGAGCAGGGCTAACCTTCTCAGGATTTGTCTACATAGGAAAGTGTTAGTTATACTGGTATAGCCTCCCTGTATGGGCATATTCTGGAGTAAAAGTAGCTTTTTGTTCCCTCCCCACTACTTATTTTTGAAACATTAATTCACACCCTTTCCAAAGCAACATAAGCAAAACTGAAAAACTCTTATTCCAGAATAACTATTCACACAGGGGGTTATACTGGTAGAACTATATTGGTTTAAATTCACATTTTAGTTTATGCCAGTATAAAAAATTTTTTTCCATGTAGACAATTATAAAATAAATCAATTTGAATATCAATAGCGTACTTACATTTCAGTGTAGAGTATATAGAGCAGTATAAACAAGTCATTGTCTGTATGAAATTTTAGTTTGTACTGACTTCCCTAGTGATTTTATGTCAGGGGTCTCAAACACGCGGCCCGCAGTGATTTTCTGCGGCCTGCGAGCCCTTCGCAGCCCTCCCCTCTGCCCTCTCCCAGTGTTTACCAGAGCGGCCGGACGAGCACCGGGAGCAGGGAAGGCTCCCTGCCTGCCTGCCCTGCCCTGCGCAGCTCCGGGAAGAGGCTGGAACGTGGGGAAGGGGAGGCGGAGGGGCTGTGTGTGGCTGTTACTTTAGGCAGCGCCCCCAGCAGCTCCAATTGGCCGGGAACGGGGAACCGCGGCCAATGGGAGCTGCTGGAGGCTGTGCCTTAAGCAACAGAAACGCACAGCCCCTCCGCCCCCCCTTCCCCACGTTCCAGCCTCTTGCGGGGGTAGGGCAGACATGCAGGGAGCGTGCCCTGCCCCCAGTACGCGCCAGGCCAGATCCTGCAGCCAAACCCCCTGCCCTGAGCCCCCTGCCGCACCCTGCACCCCGACCGCCTCACCCCGCACCCCTCCTGCATCCCAACCCACTGCCCTGAGCCCCATGCCGCACCCCTCCTGTACCCCAACCCCCGCCGTACTCTGCACCCCTCCTGCACCCTGACCCCTGCCCTGAGCCCCCTGCCGCACCCTGCACCGTACATCCGCCTTGGCCGTAAAGTATAAAATTGAGCATTAGTTTGTCTTAGTAAACATGTCCACTAATTTTAGTGCAGCTTTGATTTTTCAATTTAACACACAAGTCAGGAAATCGAAAAGCGTTGGCTCCTATAGCAATGTTA